TCAGAAGTCCTTTTTCCTTCCCTTCTTACCCTCCCAGTCCCTTCCATGGTGGATTTGGGACCCCAACCCATGCAGGCCCAGCACAGACCCATGGCTTCCAAATGTTCCGTTCCCTCCCATCGGCCGTTACCCCTCCCCTTGTTAATGCTCTTTTTTTTCCTACTTGCATCCCTATCAGGCCCACCTATCCCATCCCGTTTGTCTTCTCATCTGATTTACTTCTTCCATGGAGTCCTTTGGAAGCCCTGCTGTTATAAACAAAGTCACTAAGAGTTTAAGTTGATCTCAAATACCCCCCACCTCACGCAATTAACTAAAGCCTGGACTTTCCTTGACAACACCTCCTCCCTGGCTATCTTCTCCAAGAGATTTCTCTTAACACTGCCATGGGCTTAAAAGATTTGGAAGAGAGGTGTCCACACAGCCTTTTCTTCCTGGCTTCCTCCAGATTCCTGTGTCCCTCACCTTTCACCTCTTCATACCATCCTTGCTCCCTCTTTACCATACTCCTCCAACCTCTTTCATTTTTTCTATGGCTCCAAACACCACATCTGGCAGGATAACTTCATTCACTGGAAGGCTACCACACATTTCAGACTCAGGAGACCACAAACTAAATCCTCCGACTTCCCCTCTTTGCACTAATAAAACCATCATTAATGTTACCAGTGTCTGATGCTACAGTTCTGTTGGTCCCCTCTGACCAACTTCCTTTCTCTCCTTCAGTACCGGCACCTACCTCAGAGTTTCTGTGAGGTTTAAATGAAAGAAGGCATGTCAATCTTTTAGCACACGGGGCTGACACAGAGTAAGTGCTCTGTAATGTAAGCTATTACTAGTGAATATCTTACTGCTCAGAGTGAATCAGTAAGTAGCCAGTCTCCATATCCTTGTCTTCATGTCTTTCAGAACCATCCATTCAACATGTGTATTTTCCATTCCCCCTGCCATCTCTTTTATCAAGGCCCCTTACCTCCCATCTGGACCAGAGATAGAAAGTCTAAGCCAGTTTCCTTGACTCTAGCCTCTCCTCCCACTCCCTAATCCATCTGAGATATAAGATGTAGATAGAACTAATGAAAAGCCAACTTGTATAGCATCTGTCATTCAGCTGCTCAGAAATGTCAGTGCTGTCCTGTTGGCTCACTTGGAAACCAAGCCTTTTTGTCCAGTGTCACACTGAATTCCCAGCCTTGTCTCCAATAACCGTGGTCCAGCAAATCTCTGAAAAAGTCATCTGCCTCTCCCACGTCCATTCCTTAGTGAATGCCATTCTTTCGG